TCGTCTGAATTTCATAGTTGCTTGTCTCGTTCGAGCTAATCTTGAAATCTCACGAATTTGTTTACATTTCTCACTGTCTGCGAATGACAACCTTGTTTTTGGGCCATACTCACCAGGAAGTTAACTAGTCGCACACAGAGATATACTAGCAAGGTTTTCTTACCTTTCATATCTCGTTTAATCAATAAGGAGGATGAGGCCTGCTTACAACAAAATTGTGTATCAGTAAATTCTTCGACCTAATAAAGTGTTATGTAGATAGTAATTGATAGGTTCACATAAGTTTTGCAACTAATTTCGTAACTTTTGTCTTTCTAATTGTGGCGCATTCATTTGGGGCATAATGTAACTCAAACATTTTGATTTTTGGTAGCGAAGTGGAGAAAATTCACGCAATTTTCGAAAGATGGTCAAATCTGATACTTCAATTTTAGAACGGCTTTATTCTTGGTCCCATAACCAAGAATAAAGCCGTTCCCAATAAGCACATCAAGCCGAAACTGTATCAAAAATGTTGATAGAGAAATGTTTATTGATCTGTGCAGTTTCGGCTGCGTTTGATTTAGACTGAGAACGCATTTAATTTCGTTTTTCGGACCCTTGAAATTTTGAACTTGACTTGCTTTCGAAAAATGCGTAAATTTTCTTCATTTCGCTACCAAAAATCAAACTGTTTGCGTATATTTGTAGCCTACTACCTCATGTACACTATGCCCAAAATCAAATGCGGTACAATCAGAAGGAGAAAACTTACAAAAGTAACTGTAAAAACTTATGCGCCGACCTATCATGACAATGATGATAGGGTTAGTGAAATCTAATTAGATCCGAGATTTATTCATTTATAGATCTTGTTCGCAATATTATTTGTACAATTGACTCGTGTCAACAAACTATCTACGACTTGTTTCTTACACCTGAATTTTATGAGACGCTAGTCTTCCCTTCAAAAATTTTTTTACAAATCGGAATTTGCGGAAAAAATCCCAAAATACCTGAACCATTGTGGCCTTATATCCATCGCTCCATTAAGACTTACCGGCATTTTTTGTCCTCACCCTTCCCCCACTCAAACTTTTAACAATCCCAAGCTTTAGAACATCACCATTAGCCTCTTTTCTTATTCAAAATTCCCAAGATCCAAAACTAGGCAACATGTTTTTCCTCAGTTTATTTATATGGTTCCTCAGAACGAGTAACACATCTGCATACGTTTAGCAACAGCTCCTCCACCCTCAAAAAGTGGGGAACCGCCCCCGCCCCACTAGCTCCTAGAAGATCTCCGCCTTTGTTGTAGTCACTCTCCTAGCTGTCAGTCGAGCTTTGAAGTTCTTTTTAGAGTTTTAAAACGAGGGAGGGGGGGGGGGGAATTGTTGAGTACGGTAATGAGGTAATAGTTCAAGTATGTAGCTGTTTCGGCTGCTTCTTTTGCACAAATCTTGCAAAAATAGGATTTTTGAGAGTTGATAAGGACCCGAATTATTATAGAATTTTTAAAGAAGATTCTGCCCTAAACCTCAGCTCCCAAGACATCATATATATATGTAACAATAGTGATAGATTGCCATATCCAAAAAACCAACCCCTGTTGCCAAAACACGCATCTAAGACGCAAAATGGCGAATTATCGCTGTTAACCTCTAGAGAATTCTTCTCCAAGCTTCAGCATCCCCACTCCTCACTCACTGCTATTTCTCTCTGCCATCCGATCTCTGATTTTGTTGTCATCCGGATTGCTTTGCTCATTTATCAACTTTGTAGTAGCTGAAAGCAGTAAACTCACAGATCCTCTGCTCAAATCCTAAGATGTCTTTATTTTTATGATTTCAAAATTCTTCAGCGCTTTTTTTGCCATATTTATGACTCTCAGGGACCCGTCATACTTCGCCGAAAAAAGCCCAAAAAGCCCAAAAAAGCCCAAAAAAGCCCGAAAAAGCCCAAAAAACCCAAAAAAAACCCAAAAAAGCCCGAAAGCGCCAGAAAGAGCCGGAATGTAGAAACGAACTTTTGGTAGAATTCTGACATTATCTTATCATGCGGACGACAGAGAATGACAAAAGGCTCGATTGCGAAGTCAACACACATGCCTTAGCGCCAAAACGTGCGAGAAGTGTTCCGGCTCCTTCTGGCGCTTTTGGGCTTTTTTAGGCTTTTTCGGGCTTTTTTGGGCTTTTTCGGGCTTCTTTGGGCTTTTTTCGGCGAAGTATGACGGGTCCCTCAGACACTATTTGTCATGATTATTCTCACTTTTTCAAAATGTAAACGCCAGAGTATTTCGAATACTAACAACAGTTCTAAGCATTCTACCGTTTCATTTCTTCTTTCTTCTTGTTTATCATAACGTTCGCCTTATCGAGCTAAGTCCAGATCCGCTTATATCCACTTCGCAAAAAGTTATGGTGTCAAATTCCGCAAATCACGCGAACTTTCCGCATTTCGCAAATCCCCCATCTCGCGAAAGGGAACAGATTCCATTTATTCGTGTTTTAATACCGCCTACTGGCTCATAGCCGTCCGTTTTGTTTGAAGCACTTCAATCAAAATAAACTATGATTATTGAATTCGCTGGACACAAAAACTCTAAATTTTCTTTTGCAGAAATATTCTTTTTTAGCAAGGATTAGACTTCTCGTTACAAGAGATTGCACCTAGTAAATTTTTTTTAAATTTATGGAGGAAGAGCGTTATTTACTTGAAGTAATAATAACAGATAGTAGACCATTTTCAAGGCTATTTGCAGAAGAATTGTTTTCCTTTTCGCTGGAGGACAGAAGGGTTTAGCAGGACTCAATATTCTTGAATTCCATCTGAAATATTCCTAAGAAGCGCTGCTATTTTGCTGAGCTATCTCTTTATCTATTTATATGTATGTGTCTAGACGTTCAAAGATCTGGAGAAGAAGAATTATAGAGTGCAGTCACACACACGGAACCAATCTGAACCTAAAACCAAACAATCTATTAGCTATACTACGCAATGCATCGGCGTTCATTCTTGTTTTAAGAATTCATATCTCAATATGGACCATTTGATCAGGAGCATCTGTAAATAGTATGATTGTGCAAGGTACTGGAATGAATGTATCCAGGCAGAATGTGCTAGAAAGAAGTGCCTTTAACAATAAGTCACTAGTGACGGATTATTATAGCTAAAAGGGATTATTAACATGTTTTAAGAAGTTTATAAGCTGTAAAAATTTGAGTAGTATTTGATAGGGTTATGCAATCTCTGCCACTTTAGCTGAGTAGCTACCAACAATGCTTGAAATTCTTTTCGTGAAATACTTGTGTTTCAAAAGATAATTGGATAAAACTTATTTTATGTTAAAGATAGAAGTCAAATAAAAAATCTTTTGTATTATATGGGAGTTTGAAGCTGAAGCAAAGTGCTCTAAAGAGCCTAATGGTTAAACAGATTAGAAAGGTACAGAGGTGAAGGAATTTCCATATAAAATCCACCCAAAATTTTTGGTACTATGCACCAGTGGAAGTCAGAGAAATGGGAAGGGGGGGGGGAGAGAGAAGAGCGTCAAGAAATTTTTTTTGATGAACAGGCGTCCCATTAGCCACATTATTCGAAAAAATCTGAGATATTTTGTAATATTTTTGTAGCCTATACCCCCAAAATCATAGAGTATTTGACACGCGGTGACCGCGCCTCCCGAAAAACAAATTACAAGGCTAAATCGAAATTCTAAGAATTTTCGGAATATCTAGTTACTCAAACAAATCACCAGCGCAATCTGGAACTCATGTCAAAATTTTGCGACCCACTTTCGGGGGGGGGGGGGGGTAGTATGCACGTAATTTTTTTCAGTCTCGATTCTGCAGAAACTCGTATTCGCTGCTGCGCTATTTATTTTATCGCAAGCAGGTGCTGAAAAAACAAAACTCATTTTTTTCCAAAACTCCCCGACTTTTTTTTTGAGATGCACATGCATTTTTTCAGTTTTGTGTATGCCCATTCTGCTTTAGTTTGAAATCGCTCATTAATAGGGCACATGCTCTTCGTTTTTTAAGTTGCCGGCCTAGTTTCAACATTTTACGACCCCAAAATTCTCATGGGAAAAATTTGGCCTCATTATAGAAATTTGTACTTTGTTACAACAGACATTAGCATTTTTCAAACTTCTTGAAGACTGAAGACTCCCTCACAAACTCATAAATCACCTATGCTTCCCTCATCTCAAAGTGAAGAACAAATAAAGAGCGGGGGATCGGGAGAGAGTCCGGAAAAATTCCCTTAAAATCTCTGTTTCCAGAGAGTTAACTTGATCCGCGCTGAAACTTAGGAAATACTTCAGTAAAGCGTTTGAAGCTCGTGACAAGTGCTTTTTTGTTCTGAATGTAGTGAAGAGGTTTTGTTGCCGAGTGCGGGATGCCCTCGAACGAGTTTAGCGGAAATTTCATCGCTCATCCTGGCTCGTAATGGCTTTGGATTAAGTGCACATTGCTTTACCTCTGCTTCGTTGCTTGAGATTTTTGTTTTTATAAGGGGAAAGGAGTGGGAGAGATGTTGAAGGATGCGAGTCGAAGTTCACATATTCATAGCCTATTCAGATTCACATTAGATATCCTTGTAAAGCTCTTTCTCTGTAACATTTTCTTGCAAACATTTCTTAGAATTTTTTCCTCAGCAAATCATCAATTTTAGAATTTTTTCCTCAGCAAATCATTTCTTATTTTTTGTTTCTTATTTTTGTTCATTTCTCAAATTTTAAACCATAAACCTGCTCTCTGCAACATGTTCTTTCTAAGCCACCTTCACGTTTGGCTCCCAATAAATCAATTAGCAATGAAGTAAAATTATTTGGTAGGTAATAACGACTTTGCTAATCGAGCAGTGTAAGTTTTTCCAAAGAAAAAGATGGCAGCACTACCTAATCTGAATTGTATAATAGTTCCATATGTAAATATCCTTTGCTGTAAATCCTAATGTCACAATCTCTATCAACTATATTATATGGTCAATTTCTGAGTAGTCTTAAAATAATTTTCCAGGTGCCAAAATGATGTCCGCTGCCCGCTCGGCGGGCTTTCGCTACAAGAAGCAAAATCCTTCAGGTCAAAAGAAGAAAGTGAGTTTCAGTTATGCTCCTTCAATATAAGACGGAAAACTATTTATGTATCCGACTTCGACAAGGCATTTTTGTAAAAAATGTGTTGACTAATGTCTGTCGTATTTGAGTGCCTGGTCTTAGTATCCTCTCGACTAAATCTGTCATTTCTAAAGTGGCCGAGAGTGGGTGAGCAAGCAGAAGAGGATAAAGTATGAACGAGCCTATTAACAGAGCCTTAATATAATAGCCTGTAAGACGTGTGACCCTCTCTTTTTTGCGCAAAATTTGTCCATGAATTCCTCGGCTAGAGAATCTATTTTTCAACCTTTTCCGGTGTTCGCTGTTGCTTGTCAAAAGGCAGATGTGTTTAGCCAAATATCAGTCATCTGTCAAAAAAAAGGCTACAGCTTGGTCTTACCTCAAATTTTTGCGTCTCGATATTTACATCTAGCTGGTTTGGTAATCAAAGTTTGTGAATTTGATTTTATTATGATCTAAGTGTATAGCAACTTAGCAAACGTCGGAATATATTGACAAATGCTACTCAATCAAATCTCAACAAGAATAGCTTTGCCATGAAAGGCATGTATAGAGCATGAGCTCATAATATGTTTACTTGCCTGTTCCACCCTACAGATATGTGGAAGCATTTGCAGAAATCATGGTTTTGCTGGAGGCAGGGATTTAGGGTAAGAGAAAAAAAAATAGCAGGACTACTTTTCCAGAAAGCCAATTTTTACATCAGAAGCTTTTCCAGATATAGATGCATCTTCAAGCTAGTTTAGTAATTATAAATGTTTCCCTTCTCAAGTTTAAGCATTAAAACCATAAAGAACTTATTAAATCGTCCTCTCTGAGATTTTGGCAGAAATACATACCCTTTTGAAACAAAGCCTGCTCTTGAAATAATCTGCTTGTGCTGAAGGAAGTTTGGCGGTCGACGGGCAATTAATTATGGGGAGAAAGTATTAGGTTGATGCATAATTCCTGCACCAAAATAGGTATAGACCGCAATAATCCGGAATAATCCTGTATCCCAAATAGCATTCGATATACCATTAGATAGAGCAAACTTAGCCCTACAAGATGTTGCTTATTGTTTTGCAGCAGCTTTTGATCCAGGCGAAGATTGAAGTCAAAAACGGAAAAGATCCAAGCACCCCAAAAACCCGCGAAAAATTTGGAAGTCCGTTTAGAAAAATCCTCCAAAATACTTGCTCATGCATCGTCATTTCGTCTAAGACATTTTTCTATGCAGTTGCTGTATTTTTCTCTCCGCTAGAAAACGAAAAACCAAAGTTTTTCATGTTTTTTCCAAAACAGTGCTGAGATGTTCTAGCACCTATACTTGTATACCACAGGACTTCAGTAGCATGAATGTGAATTCTCGGCTTTTTAGAGCAGCTGGTTTACGAGAAATATTGAATTTTTGGCAATTAAGCAAGAAAAATTCGGATAAAGAGAGCTAGATTCGATATTTCACGTGAACTTCTAGAAGGCTGAATATGTAAAGTTTTACTGCTGATGGCATGTACTATACAACCGTTAGTGTTAGAACATCTCAGCACTAATTTGGCAAAAACATGAAAAACTTCGTTTTCTCATCGTCAAGCTGAGAAAAAAATACAGCAATTGCATAGATAAATGTCTTATGTAAAAGGTCTACGCGTGAGCAAGAAAGAATTTTTGTAGGAGCTTTTTTAACGGAGTTACAATTTTTTTAGATCTGTCTTAAGGTTTTCGGACGCATGGTTTTTTTCAGTTTTTGGCTCAAAACTTCGCGTGGATCAAAGCTGGTTTTTTTTGAGCACTATCTTGTAGAGCTAGGTTTGCTCTATCTAATGATATATCAAATCCTATATAAGGATAGGAGAATTTCGGATTTTTGCGTACTGTACGTATTTTGGCAGGAATTATGCATCAACCTAATAATTTCCAAGAATGTAAGCAGAAAAATCTCCCTTTCAATGTACGCAAAAAATTAGTATAAACCCAAAAAATTTTCAGAATATTTGAAGTAGGTTTGATTTATAGATATATTTTTTTATTCTGGCAGTTGATTGGAGAAAAAAACGTAATTGTCCTGAAGTTTGTCATGTTAGAAGACAATTAAATGATTCTGGTGCTGAATAGGAATTTTACTCATCGAAAAGCTCTTTCAAATGCTAGTTTCTTTCAAGGAAACTTCCTGGATGTCTGGCATTTCCCTAAGAATAGCTCAGGAACTGTCGCATGCACTCATTCATTTCACATGCAAAACAAGCATAGCTCTTCATATGCTGATCGTCACAACTTTTCGGGACCGGCCGCGACCTATGGTCGAAATGGGTCCCAAAGGACATTTTCATCCTATTCGCCACCCGTGGATGGTCACGCGTTTGCTTATAATAAGGTCGTAATCTGATTGCTGTAGTAATCGAAAGAAAATTGAGGTGCGAATGGAGTGCCGATGTAAGGAAGTGCGAAAAAAGGGGAAGGAGGATTATGGGGGGGGGGAAGAAGGTGAGCGTGGGTTGAAGGGGCTTATGAACTCACAGGTTTTGAAAGCTTCCACAAATTTTGTTTCTACAATTTTTGAGAATGTGAGCTGTTTAATGCCATTAGAGAAATAGAAAAAGTCCGTTGTGATCTATGATTTGGGCTCTAATTCATAATTTTCGGGTTCGATTCTTGGTAACGGAATAAATTTTGCAAAGGGGGACTTTGTGTTGATTCACTCGCATTATTCTTGAATGGGACGGACTTAGAAACCGCTACTTGTGAAAAATTCTCAAAATCTCTCCACTAAACTACCGAGGATCAATCTTTCAATTGTTAGAAGTTATTTTTATAGTATTGTTGGAGGCCTTAAATTCCTTTCCGGGCTGCGGAATAGATTTGAACAGACTTATTTTGAGAAGAACTAGAATGAGGGCGGTAGTCATTGTTTTCGAAGGGAAGGGTAGAAGCAGCGGTGTCACAAATTTTCCTTGAAAGGGGGCTATAAAGCTCGGTTTTTCTAAGAATAAAAAAAGATCAATGGGGGACAAAACAGGGGTGAAACATTGAAACAGCAGAAAATTGATACCAAACTTTCATAAAAAGAACCGAAAATTAATGTTCAATTAACCCAGTAGGTCTGTTATATGGCTGCTTTTTTCTTTAATTCTCAGATTCTTCAGTACTGTATTTACTTATGAAATGTCGATGTGTTTTTCCAGAAAAATCGCTCAGGAAGTATTTCCACCAGTTCTCCTGATAGATCAACACCAACAGAAACACCGACGAGCACCGATTCCCCTTCAACTTTTCTCACCGTGCCGAATGCAATGATGAGGAAACGAAGTGGAAGTGTTCCAGCGTTTAAGGTCGTCACTCTGGTGGGTTTCTTAGTATTTAATCAGGAGTTCTGAAAAAAGTAGGGAGGGGCCAAGCGCTATGATAATACTTTCCACGGGCCATGAGTTTTTGTTCACAAATCACTGTGGTTGAGCACGAACTATAATCTCTCACGATTTTCCTAATAATACATCTATCACAAGCTTAAAATGCGTGGGAAGAGCTCGCAATAGATTCCTGAAAATATATGGCCCTGCTTTGTTTGAGCTCAATGTGTTTTTGATTCCTATGGGGCTTTCAGCGCTGGAGTGGTCAAAGAGCAACTCATAGCCGAGTACGAGTACGAATTGATCTTTGTTGAAAATTAAAAAAAACTTTTATGCTCATTGTTAGCGCGGGAGATGATGGTCCTATGTCCGAGTAGTAGTTCTGATTTGGTTTCGTGTGCTTTTGTGCGGTTTCAAATCCTGGAAAAAATAGCAGGAAAAAATGGCATAGTTATTGCAGTAGCAAAAATTCTAAAATATTATTTGTCCAGTTTTAATTTTTGGAAAAAATAGTAGAAAAAATAGGCACTTTTTCGGGTGGAAGGATTGCAGCAGTAAAATATGTATTATAATAGAATTATCATAAATGCGTATATTGGTAATGGATAAACGGTGATTTCCATTATAGTTCTGCAGTAATTTTGATATATGGAAGTGATGATGACAGTAATAACTGTAATAACATAGTAACAAGGGTGTCACACTAGCAGTAATAATACAAAAAATTAATCAATAACTCAAACGAAAACCACGTTCTAATTTGACTGGATTACTTAGGAACAACAAGCACTTTGAATAACCCCAGTAAATGTGCTTGGCGATATCTCTGAGTTTCCTTGTTGTTTTTTTTATTTTCAAAAAAATTACACTTTCTTTCAATTTTCGAGAGCACCTGTTGATAGCTGAAATGGCTATCTTCCCTTTTTTTCAATTAGAGGGATGGGAAATAGAATAATGGAGGAAGGCGAAGAGCAACTAAAAATAGAATTCTAAGGTCAAACAAATTGGAAATTTGCGCATGATTCAATTTCTTGCTCCCAAGGTTCCTCCTACACTGAAATACTTTCCAGTGAAACTAAATCTATAACAAAACAATTTCACTTCGGTGCTTGGATGTGAAGGGGAGGGGGGAACTGGTCTGCAGACTGAGATTTTCTTATGTAACTGATACTTATGGATTGCAAAATTCCAGGCTTGCTTCTGGAACTTGAGATATGAGCAGGCGAGAGCTCTTCGAATGACATGGGCTCGATTGTGTGAACCACCTCGATCGAATTGCAAAGGGATCGTGAATTTGGTCGAGCGGGTTTGGGAGAAGTTGGATAGTGTAAGTCAATTACGTGATTTTCAAAAAAACGTAAACTAACATTTATTTTAACATAAAAACACATAACACTTCTAAAGCAATAAGATTCAAAATACGAAATGAATGTAGTTTGAAGTAGCCAGTGTTTTGATGGAAAACGGGAACTAGGGGTATGAAGTATTCGGATTTTATCAAGTTGAAATCAAACCTTAATCTGACAAAAAGATCTGTAGAAAAAAATTTTGCTCACTTGCTATACAACTCTATATATAACGTACATATGTACATATAGAGTTACCGTACTCTTTGTTTTCTTGAAAAAGCTGACGTCTTTATCCATTTTAGTTACCATTCTGCGAAGCTCCTTAGGCAGACAGCGCTATTCAGAAGTTCATCTTTTTCATATAGCTTTTTGTTTGCGTAGAACGGACCAACTTCAGGACGAATAATTTCATCTCCGCGCAAGTGAATTGGGTTAGCGAAGTGACTTTTGAAGAGATGTCCTGTCGAAGGCTTTCTGATGTGGTTAGGGTTTTTCTGTAGGTACATCCGGTGCAGAATGCAAATTGGAGATGCTGTATATGTATGCTTTCCGAGTGGGTTGGAGGGGGGGGGGGGGGGGCAACCTAGGTGCCTTGGTGTACCTTGTGTAATTACACCAATGTTGAACTTGGCGATAAAAGTCCAGGAGTCTCCAAATTGCACATAGCAGCCACTCTTTTTGGTCGTCTAGTTTGATCTCCTATTTTCAGAAAATGTTGTAGGAAATTGGGCATTTTAATAACAAGTAGAAAATTTGGATCACTTTACGCCATATCAAACAGTGACAGCGCTATTCACAAAATCTTTTTTAATGATTCATTTTTAGAAAGACCCCTCGGTTCGAAACATTTTCTACAATGCGGCATTTGTCGAGACAATGCATGAAAGATGCGAAAGAAGGTAAGCAATTTTTTATACCTTGAAAGCAAATAGAGAAAAAAATATTTCTAGTAGAAACTGCAGCTCTTTTGATGACAATTTTTTCCCATCCAAATTTGTCAAATTTGTTGTCTTTCAGGAGATCGAATTGTTCAATCGCGACATTGCGGGACCACACCCACTTCTTCGTCTCATTGGTCTCACAGGTTGGTAGATTACTGTATATGCACTCTGTGTCGAATTATGTCTTCTTTGTTTTCTTTGAAACTAACGCACTATTTACGAGAGGCACAAAAAAACCAAAGTTTTTTTTTTCAAACCAAAGTTCAGTCTGTTCATTTTTCCATTCCTTTGAGACGGCAATATGACAACTCTTAAAAATGTTATCGTTAACAAAAACGTCTAGTTTTTCAAATTTTCCTATTTATACGCTCACTATCTAATAGGCTGCGCAGAATGAGCGGAGCAAAAGTCTTCTCATAAGTTCGAGGTTTTCTGAGTTCTAAAAACAGATGGAACGTTTCCCACTTTTTTTGCGAAAGGAGTATTTGACCACTTTTTCAATGACAGCAATTTTTTGTTGGGTTCTAGAAAGATTAGAAATTGGCAGCCCAAAAATTTCTACGCGCATAATGATGAATTACTTTTAAAGCAAGGCCGTGAAGTTTCCATGTTGAAGCAGTGAAGCTTGTTGTTACTCGCCCTTAAAAAATTCTTTTGGATGTTTCCCAACATTTTAGTGGGGTTCCACTCCTCGGGAATTCACCTCACAAGTTTTAACTGATTCTTAAAAAAATTTTAAAAATTATTGCACAAATCTACGACTTATATAGGAAACTTTCGAAAATTTCGGAAGCCATTTTTGGGCTCTATGATTTTGCTTCACAATCATCCGAATACTGTGCTAAAGAGATCCTCGAAGATTCTTGGCATTCCTAGAACTGATGTCAAATACCAGAACAGCTCAAAAAATCACTGTTAATAGACTTAAGGGCCGGGCATACTTCACGCGATTTCAGTCGCGACGCGATTTGGCAATTCGCCAGAAGTCTTCAGATCCAACAAACTGCATATGCACAGTGTTCAACTTACACGGATTGGTAAAACTTTCTGTACTTTCAAAATGTGCATACAGTGAGTTAGGACAGTTGGATTATTGCCAGATCGCGTCGCGACTGAAATCGCGTGAAGTATGCCCGGCTCTCTAGAGTTCATTCAATCAAAAAAGTCAATCTAAGCGGTGACTAACTATTGTATCAAGACGTGCACGCAGCAGAATTGTTGTCTTTTTTGACAACGGCACGAATTTGAATTAAGCTTTCTAAGACTTTCCCATAAATGTTCGGGATAATTATAAAAGATGGTCCACAGATTTTATGATAGAACTACATTTATGCTTCCAAATAAAAAAAAATCCATTTGCTTCCAGGTTATTCAAAATCTCGATTCGGACCCGGAAAGTATACTGAATCACATTGATTCGATCGGTGAGTTTGGAAGTGTTTCTTTTCTATCTAATTTTACAGCTAGACTCATCTGCCTGGAAAATTATTATTTGATTCTAAGATATTTTTGTTGTGTTGTTTTGAAGTTGTTTATTACACCTTGATCGCTACATTAACGTTAACTTATCATAAAGCAATGGAAGAATAGCACTCAAAATAATTGAAGAAAACGTTGTTTGGGTGTTTGCATTCTTGAATTTCTCCACTGACATACATCAAAATATATCGTTCGGTCACTTCTTGAATCATTTCTTTTAGGAAGAAGCCATGCATATTTGAAACAGTATGGATTTCGATCAGTTCTGTGGGAAAAAGTTGGCGAATACTTTGTAGACGTTGTTGTCATTCAGGTAATAATTTGTTCGGGTAGATTGGAGCTAAAAAGAGGATAACGAATTTCAGGACTGTGTCCGCGGCTTTCCCGAGGCATGTCGAGCATGGACCATCATGGTCGCTGCGCTCGTTGATCGACTTCGGGCAGCTCCACGTCGTGGAAGTATCGCCGTATCGCCAGCTGCAAGTCAGACTTCCTTGAATGGTTCTACTAGTAACTTGATTGGCTCTAGTACCAGCATATGCACCATAAGGTATGCCACAGTCTTTTTCATTTTTTCGGGTGTGGGAACATAAAATTCCGGGTAGTTCGAAAAAGTAAATAATGTCACGATGGAGTGGTTTTGGGATAACTTTAGGAAATGGGGAGGAGGGGTCTTTAGCGCAAGGGCTTAGATGTCTTTGAAGACAAGACCCGAGGCCAATTCTCCGGAACGGTGTTTGGTTGGGTGCGCACGGAGGAGCGGGCATTACTGGAGAGGGGGGGGGGACGCTGACTTGAGGTTCATGCCTCGCCATTCCGAAGCGATTATCCGCGACATTTTACGCCGCGATTTGGGCATTAACTTGAAAGGAAATCCATTGTAAGCAAAAGTCAAGACTCTTAACTTAGGTGGGCGATGCCTTCAAGAGGTGTAATCGGCAAAAAAATCTTTCTGCATGAACAGATGGACAAAAATTTACACGTATACAATCTTCAAATAGCCGAACAGGTGGAAAATGACATGATGTGCGTCTGCACCACAGGCCATGGTCATGCGTCACGTCTTTGTCTTCCTATAGGTGATCGTGTGAGGACCCTTCTGCTCTTCTATCTCTTCGACAACCCCTAGCATTGCGAACTTGCGATCTCGAACCAACGGTTTCAGCCTGATCCCATAGCACTATCAAAATGAATTCATATCAACCGCAATCACCTCAGTTCCACAGGTTTGTAAACAATAGACAGAACACATTTCCATTTCGTAGCGAGTGGGATGCGGTGACTAATGGCAAGCCATATTGTAGGTGAGTCAGTTGGCGCTTGTAAAGCAGGCTGAGGTCGGCTTTGGAGTAAAGGGTAGTCAGAGAGGGTTAGGAGGATGTTTAGGGCAAGTGAAGGCAGTAAATGGGCACGGTTACTCTTTTAAAGTTCAAGTTCCGCGCTTCAGTCCGGGCCTGCTAGTCAAAGTATTGGCTCGGCCGGAGATGCAAATTAGTTGATCAATTCATGAAGAAGTACCTAGCTTAGCAGATTACCATGGAGAAGTCCTGCGTAACAATGCTACAATTTAGCAAAGTAGTAGTGGTGTTCTTTTTAACGTTTCCTGTATCTGTTAGCCTTTATCTTTAAAGAACATATTTAGGAGAGGAAGTACAATTTCAAGGTGCATTGATATTGAAAAATCAGCAAAAGAAGCGAAAGATTTGGCAGCAATCAACAATGAAACGATACCAAGGAGGTAAGCTGTGATGCTGTTGCATATTCAAGACACCAGGAAAGTTTCACTAGTATAGACCAAAGATGGAGCAGAAAATCTGGTACATTCAAAAGAACCTGGCACACTGATTGAAAATCTGGTACATTGATTTGAAATTCCTCGATTCTACTGTGCCTCTTGCAGGAAATCGGGATATCAAGGGTCACTGGCAGATGTAGGATGCGTCAGTATGGCTTCGATCGACGCAGCTCTTCCGACTATACGGGCGAGCAATCCAGCTATAGCTTGAAATCTTACTTTGTAGCCGTGTGCATTTCTCTTTGAAAGTGAATGTCTACTCGCCATCTATTCACCAGATGGATCCATTACTTGTGCTTTGTCATTGTTTTTGATTTAATGATCTCATATGCCACTGATTCTTATTATTCAGCCAGCATCGCGATACTAATGATACTAATGAAGTTGAAGGTATTACTTCATTTGCCATACGTAAATGTTACCATGTTCATTTTGAAAAATTTTAAGTGATCTTTTGTGCATACGTAATAAAAGTTACGGTCTCCAACTCTGGCCATTTTTCGATTCGGGTTAACAGTATTTCTAAAAATTTGATCCCGTTAGTGTTTTGACATACCAGTTCGATCTTCTTCGCTACCTCAAACTATCCAGTGGGAGGCAAGCAAGTGTTACTTAATCAGCCGTCTGTTATCGTAACCAAACGTGCGATTGGCGCTAACGCGGCTGCCTTCATTTTCCGGAAATTTCACGCATCCCAGAAGATGACATAAGATTAGATAAACGAAGAGATCAAAATTTTTGAGTAATAATTGATGTTTAATCAAAGCCATGCCGATAATGTCACGAAAACTCTTTTTGAAAGCGAAGTCAGGGCCATGCACCGGGAGGCAAATAACATTTGTAAATCGAACTTGCCTCCATTTTCGACTTTTACAATTACTTGTTTGGGTTTCCAAAGGACTTGGACGGAGCTTTATTGGCTGGCAGGCTGATAGGCCCCGCAAACACAGAACCACAAGACTTTATAGCCTCTACATAGATAACAGTCTTTCTAAATGTTTGGGTGAATATGTCTAGCAGTGGTTTGTCGCGGCCGTGATTGACCAAGACAATAATAGCAAAATTCCAAACCTTAGTCTTCTAGGGAATACTAAGAATTATAGGAAAGTGAAGACATGTTACGATTCTGCAAGTTTCAAGAACACCCAATCACGTCAGCTGCGTGGATTGTTCAATTGAAGCGCGCTTTCACCCTCAAAAAGACTGGCGTTGTTGCCATTTCGAATTTTAACAAAGAGGAGAGGAGGATTGCTGGAACCTAAGTATTGATATATAGTGAACCTTAAGTGCTTGATATGTGAATTACCTCAATTTTACGCCTACAGGCACCTTTTCCGATTTTTCAAGCGAGTCGCTCAGCCGCTCAGTTGTATCTCGGAAAGCGATCTTATGCCGCATGGTCTAAACAATATACAACACGTTATAGGGTACTGGTTGCGATCCTTTGGCGTGTTTGGGCCGGTTGATTTTGGAAAAAAATCCTCTCGCCTTGTACGCTTGAATTTAGGGTATGAAAAATCACTTGATGAATGTTTTGCTACCTTCAGGGTATAGATGGACATATACGGAGCTAACAAGGGAAGCGTGTTTAGTCGAAGTGGCATTTTCAGATGAGACCCATACTGCTTCGAAGAGAATTGCACTGTGTTCCGAAATCTGCTTTCCAAATCTGCCAAGCGCCTCTGGACGCCGAGTTATGGCCGTTTTTTGGAACGAAAAATGAATGCAGAATTTGGGCAAAATCGATTATTAAAATCTTCACAGCGCTCAGATAAAGCAATGTTAATTGTTAGCATATTAGATAAAATGTACTCATTGCATAAAGGGCTCTGATACTTGACAGTGCACCAAATTTAAGCAGATTTGGGCAATTTTGTTCCAGTTTTGCATTCAATTTTTTCGACCTGAAAAACGCTCATAACTCGGCGTCCAGAGGCGCTTGGCAGATTTGGGAGGCAGATTTGAAATCACCGCTTAATGCTCTTCAAAGCAGTTTGGGTCTATCTGGGAAGGCCTTCAACTTCAACTACACACGCTTCCCTTTGAGTTAGAAAAAAGTTGAGCAAGTTTTTATACAAACAAGTTACTTTGTTTCTTAATACCACTGCGCATATGTACATCATATCGCCATATACAAACGTTATGTGTGTGGAAATGAATCATTTTTCTATTGCTTGTACGAGGAAATTTGCAGGAAAAACTTCGCACAACCCTGTCGCATAACCTTCCCACAACACTTTGCTGTTGGTGATTCTAAGGGAAATCTGTCAAGATCGGGCTTGTTCTCGCTCAACAATCAACATCAGTGAAATGAACACTAGTAAAGTACTGGCGCTTGAATATCCAAAAAAATGTTTGAAAGCAAAGTTTTTACTCACCGCAAGCCCTTTTCGGAGTTCGACAAAATTTGTTTTTGGAAAAACCATCCACTTAAAAGATTCACGGATTTACATAACATCTCTTTTTTAAATAGAAATATTTCATTTATTTTCACTTTAGCAATTATAAATTTCACACCGTCGACCAGCATAGGTTCTAACAAAGACAAACTCTGAATAATTTCAGAATACATATCTGGTTGCCTTGAACTTCCTATGAGAAATTCAATGGTGCGCTCTCTATAAACTCCGCAGTGACGTCTGTGTGCCCCTTGGCTGGTTACGGGACTAGGCACTTAGTTAGGTACAGAACCGCTTGTCGCAATAGTTGCAATGCACTTTGCGCAAATTCAGATGGGGCATGTAACACACGCCAGTCTGTTTCATTATTTATCACAGCTTGTGAAAAAAGTTGGACTTTTGTTCTGACTGGAACGAGAAGGGCAGCTACTTAGTTTGTTGAGCTTTTAACGTCTTCAGAAGCTCAAAGAACGAGCGATTGCGTTTAGGCACCCCTGTCAAGATCTTTGTTTTACCGCTTGTTCTTATTTCACAATCCCGTCAGCGGTAGCAAATAAGGAGAAAATTTGTTCACCGATCAAAACCCCACTCTGAACTTCCGTTGTTGAAAGCTTGAACTATAACAACGCAACATCGAGTTTCTTCTAATGCGGAACATTTTTTTCGCCCTAAGGATTATGTTGACCGCTTGTGAGTGTCAAAAGTCAGTCATAGTAATAGATGTCATGCTTTTTTAATGGCGCTCTGCTAGAACACCACTGCTTTGCCGTGGTTGGGGAATGATATCGTATGTCTATGTTACATCATTTTTTGCGGTGCTAGCGTAGTGGTGCAGCTGTTACAATGTTGTAGTTATTTATGATTACAAATTCATTCAAATATCGCAAGATATGTTGTAATTTCAAAACCGAATTATGGAACTTGTATTTGCAGTACAGCTATAAAGGCGTTAGTGAGATTATTCGAATCATACATTTTGAACAAGACATGCCCTCTTGAGATTATTAATGAGCTTTAACATAGATAGTGTCCACTTGTATTTCCTACTGTACAGACAGTTCCAAAAAAGATGCAATAGACGATATAAAGGCTTATACAGCACCAAATATGCATATAAATTGAGCAATTTACAGAATGTGAGAAAATGCAGATGTTGTTATCAAATCATTCCTGTGTCCTTCAAGTTCTCTTGTACGATGGTGTCGATGACGGAGTTTATGACAACTTGCACCTGATTCGTGTCGGTTGCACATGTCTCATGCACGTATCTAGAATTTGAAAGTAGTAGACAGTATTTCCTAAGTAGCATGCAATGAGATTGATTGGTCAATACCATTTACTGATATATAGAAACATTATTGTGTTATGAAACGAAGAGATTTGATATTAGTTTCTTTCTAAGAGGTAAACAGAGACCGCCATCTTATCGCAGATGTTTCTGATATGAAACCAGAATTCACTTTTTGATGGTATGTAGGTTATCTTCTAATATGCACAGACTAACTTGTTTTACGGATAAGAAAAGGCAATGAAATAGCTGGCAGCAATTTGCGAGACCATTCCCTCACAATATATTACAATAGATTGATTCATAATCAATGCAAGTTCCTTATGCTACTGTGCTAGAATAGATATAAGAGTTTAAGAACATTCGACAGGGCAAAACAAACTCATAAAATGTCAATCAAACGGCAAAAAGGTGCGTGAAGGTATAAACGAAATTTAGTTTTACATTTAGACTAGTGAACCAGTAATCTAAAGGTGCTATTTGGAAGAGCGTTCGCTTCGGGACCCTCCGCTGTTTCCCACTTTGCAAGATTTATGAAATGAGCTAACGATTCTTCATATGTTAGATCTGCGTCTAAAAGAATGCTAGGAGAATCCATTTTGCTCGAGCATATGCCTTCCCACATTAGACATTCTTATGTACGCTTGCTGCATTTTTTGTGGCCAGAAAACTAAAATGATCATCGGCATCCTTCTGTCGAAGTGATGCTGTGCTGTTCGCACATAAATAATTCTAAACTACAAGGCAGTGTGAGTAGTTAACAAATTTTATCTTCTAAAGCGATGATTTTTTGAGGAAATGATTCACGCATGAAACTTAAAGAGGCAAAATTTTTGTATTTTTTAGCCTACATTTGATATTAATTACTGGATGAATCTATGTAATAAGATGAGAAGTATATCCAAACAGAGGTGTATTATGTATTATCTGGGTAGCCCATAGAGTTTTCGGACGAAGATTTTAGTTATTGAAAATTTTCTGAATTTTGGCTTAAAACTCTATGAAGAGTATTTTTTGTGTTCGACCATTTTGAAAAGCTTGCTTTGCACTAAACAACGTATATCTCCCAAAATTTTCTCAAATTTACATACTACCTAAGGAAAAAAACGGGAGGAACATGCACCAAATATCAAATTGTCAAAATATCAAAATCATATTGTTTTTTTTAATCAAAACTACCCTGAGTTCACGAGTACAAGGCACACCTTTTTCGATTTTCTTGAGCGAGCCACGCCTCTGCGTCGTTGTGTCTCAAAAGACGGAACTTACGCCGCACCATGTCTTGAGGCAGCATGGATCACAGTATAGGTTCCTTATGTCACGAAATGTTTTGTTGTGTTCGGACTGGTCGAGTTTAGAAAAAAATTAGGTGCACCCTGTACTCGTGAAATTACGGTATATTGAAAAGAACAAGACAATTTCGTGAAATTGGTAGATCTTGCACAAATTCAGGAATGTACTCACGGCTTTTTTGAATGCTTTATTAGAGCATTTTCGAAACGTCGTCGAATATATGCGATAGAAGGCGCATAGCCAGTACCATCACGCTCCGCTAAAAATAAGATGATTTGATATCAGTGTTAATTTGATTTGTCTCATAAAAAATCAGAACTTACGATCATAACTGTCGAAACACACTTTGAGAGATACGTATAAGATTTTTTCGGCAAATAAATCTTTTTTGTTCAGAAATAAAATAACGGATACGTCTTTGAAATACTGGTTGTTAACAACACCGTCGAATAGCAACAATGCCTCTTTGAGTCGATTCTGTAATCGCAAGTGCCCTACTCGAAAACATTATCGGAGAATAGGAGAATTGTATCGCCAAAGAACTTATTTTGCTGCGAGTGTTGGTGCGCACTCGCATTGGAGTCTCGTCCCAAATTAGGTAGCTTTCCTTGTTTTCGCTCGCTACAACCCATTTAATTCAAGAGGTAAAGATACAGATAAACTCAATTACTCCAAGGATTTTGAATGAAATGTCTTGGAATTGCACTACCCAACTTTTTTCCCTTTTCTGCTAAGGCCAAATGATTCAAGCGTTGAGAGAGACACTTTCAGCGGGCAGACAAAAAAATCTTGACGTTACCATGAAAAATCAAGCACATGAAAACTGGAGATACACGTCAAGTCATAGTCTTAAGATGCAAAAAGTATGACAAAACTTAACAAGGAACTAACTGTTTTGTTATCTTCACGCAGCACTTGGTCATACTCGCTGATTGCCGCTACATAAATGACGGCATTGACGTTATCAAAGCAATGTATCCATTTTCTCCGTTCGGACCGTTGTCCTCCTACATCGAATACCCTAGAATCGTACTTCGTCTCATGCATGTATACAAAATGATAAGAATTTCCGTATCAAACACTCACTCAAAATTGATTCCTTTCATGGTAAAGTAAAATTGTACTACACCAGAAGTGGGAATTCTTGTGTGAAGTATATCCTGTATTGATGGCTTATAGTTCTTTTTGGAAATTCGATCCAAGTCATTGAAGAAACTAAAACAAAACAATGTACGGAAGTGAGCGTAAACTCGGGCACATATGGAAACGCAAATACCGTAAACTCGTCACAATTATGCACCGGTTGCAACAATGAACACAAAAACACAAATATGGCTTTACATTCTCACATTTTCCCAGCTTTCGTAGGGTCTGCAGGGTCACTTTCTTTTTAGGTCACAATTGATCCTAAGGCCCGTATGCACGTACATCCCTGCTGGTGAGGAAAGGGGAGCTGAGGGGCGCATCATATTTTACTCCACGTAAATGTATACTTCTAAAGTCCACTGCATGACGAAGGCGCAGAAGCTGTATTAGTTGAGAGGGCGCGAACGCGGCGCGCGCATCTTCACCATTGTGAATCCTGCGTCTCATGCGCTCTGCGGCTAATAAAGTCGCGTGCGCCCAAAGATATTGTGTCTTCGTCATGCAGCAGCGTATATGTATATGAACATACTGGATGTTTTATAGCCGGTCAGGTATTAGGTTGGAAACTAAGTTTTGCAATTCATCCAGTAACTTTCCTCCCACTCAACATGGCGCATTCAAATATTGCCACTGTGTTGGTTATGACGTGAGCCACAGGTGCAGCTGCTGTTCTACCAAATTCTGACGTCGCAGTGAGGGTTACGGTAGGTACATGGTATGAAGGGAAAAATTATAAACTTCGATAGATTTGGCTGAAACTTGGCATAAGGGGTTATCCGACATGCTGATTACGAAAACAATACTGAAGTTGCGTGATAAGCCCTTTTCTGTGAGATAACTGTAGGTGTACGATATAGGATCTCACCCTAATCAAGGAAAGAGGCGTTGATTCAACAAATGAATATGCTATTTGTGTTTAGCAGCCCAAAGAGCCTCAAATGTAAAGGTTCGGAGAATTTTGTGGTCCTTAGTCATTGACGTTTGTCCCCAGTAGCCTTGCGTACAGCGGCTCGTTCAAACTTGTGAGAACGCCAAATTTTGGCTTGCCCCTAAATTTTATTTCTTTTTTAGTGATCTGAATAAGTCAACCTATAGCAACAATTCATATACGATTCCGAATTATTGCGCTTGGTCTAGGCTGCTAACGGCTTATTTTACCTTATAACCCCAAAAATTCTTGAAATTCAATAGTTTTCGAAAAATGGAAGTTTTTCTAATTCGTTTTTAAAGTTCAAACAGCTTTGATCAACTGTAACTAACACTACTCTCTAAATATTGCGACAAAGAGATGACAAAACAGGAGCAAAGACGAAAAAGCGTAAAAACGAAAGGTAAAAGGTATTAATCTTGTCTTTACTAAAACATGAATTGTGGCGTATTTGAAAGAGACGTAATAGCAATAATCCTCATGCATAGTCCACAATTAATTCATATGGAAAAGTGAAAACATCTTTACATTGGCCGTAAGTGCAATATGGATTTTGACCACTGATGAACATCTCGAAACCGGTATTTCAAGTTATGCATGTGAGAATATTTGAGAGATCGCATATATTTGTTTTGTATATACGACACTCCTTTTTTTCTTCAGAACAAAGATCGGTTCAAAGTACGTCCAGTTGTGGTGCAGGTCTCGATCGTACAACTTGGAGCATCACTTCCTCTAATTGCTCTGATGCTGCGGTTCTTGACTACATGAGGCCAAAAATGCGCAAACTCCCATAATCACTATCAATATTACCTCTTATCAACCTCTGCACTCATATCCTCTAAACTTACTATTCTGCACTTTCACTGATGTGAAAGGAACTCCTCAGTGAATATGTTTTCCTGACGCCACTATCAGCCCACAGTTCTTTGACGGCGGATCGAAGTTCTGGTCCCCATTCGATAAATTCGCAACCAGAAGCATGAACTTTGCGCACAAGCTTCCCGTGAATCTGAAAAGAACGCTAGCCCATCTAACAGGGGAAGGATACTTGGATGCCGTAGCCAGTCATGATGATTTGTATACCAAAATGCGCTTTTGAATGCTGGTTCGTAGGCTGTCTTTCATATCTGCGAAACGATAATCTGATTGGAGTTATGATTTTTTTTTTTCATTAAAAAAATTGCGTTCCTGCGGAGGGTCAAAATCATCAATAAAAAAATTTTCTCTCCTTTCCAAATGCTGAGTATGATCCAGATAGTCTAAATAAATATTACTACGTCTAAAATTTTCTTCAGTAGCATCAAACGGTAGGCTAGATCAAATCTGGTGATTTTTACTATCCAAAAGTAGGCTGAATTTTCATGGAAAAAAGTTCGTAACTTTCTTCAAAAGATCGTTTCGCAGATTTCGACACAGATTCAGAATCTGCATTCGAAGGCGCATTTTTTGGTATACAAATCATTAGGAATGGCCGCGGCATCCAACTATCCTTCCCTTGTAAGATGTCTCCTAGAGAAACAAACAAACTTTAACGCTATTTTTACTCGAATCACTCGTGATGAAAGTAAAGTGATACATGCATCATGGAATGCTGATTATTCGCTCGCCAAGTCTGCTAAGGCACTCGCCATACTTGATCCTCCTTATCCACTTGATCCGCTTGATTTGCTTCGTGCAAAACGCGCAACACTAATTTGTCATTTGGCGTCGCGTACAGCGAATTTGCGTAACCGTACAAAATTCCTTTTTACCTACGCTGCGCCGAATGACAAACTGCTATGTGCGCGTTTTGCACGACGCGCGGATCAAGCGGATCAATTGGATCAAGAGGATCAAGTATGACAGATGCCTAAAGCGCTCACTCATAATCAAAGTTGATGCGTAGTCGTCTCAATGAAGGCCGCGTGTTCAAAACCTTTCTTTCCCGATTTTATTTTTACTGATTTTGGCTTTTCATCCCCTTTGAAGCCCGTATTTGAGTTCAGCGCCAGAAAAGCCTAGAAACTACGCGAAAGTCGAGATGGAAAATTCTGAACGCTGGCAAGAATAGGCCAGGATGACGAATTTTTTTACAGTAAATATATGTAAAGGCCGATTGGGGATGGCTGTGCCAGTTGTGTTGAATAATTCCTTTATAGATTATTGGAATTCCACAGCTCATGAGTCGCAGCTTGATTGCAATACTCTCAACAAAGACGATCAACCAGCCGAGCAATCAATGTAATTGGCATACAGCAAACAAAAAGCTTTTGTCGTTGAAATGTGTAGTGCAAAATTAGCAAATTTGGTTCCACCCTTGTCTCACATGCTTAGTGTGAATCACTGCTGTGGTGAATAAGACCGGAATACACTTCTATCTTCAGTTATTCCCTAGTATTTCAGCTTGGGGTTGTCGCTTCTACTTTCCCAGTAAGTCTTGGCGGCCGAACATGTATGTCCATAACAAAATCTAGTAAAGTAATACCCGATATCTCGTTTATAACAAAACCAACTGCTCCATAGACTCTAGACATGAGCACGAAAGATCGCATACCTCCATAGAATTGTTGTCAAACGCAATTCCTAGAGTTTCCATTGCATCCAAGAGGGCCGCCATCGATTGCACGATGTTCATGTAAACAACAAATTTCTTCTCCTGTATTTCCTGCTCCGAGTAGCCGTTAGCATGCATAATTCTCAAAGTAAATGTTTTGCGACTCATAACAAAACGTTCGTCGTCGTACTTCAGCTGCTTTAAACAGGTGCTTTTTCCGCTCTCGCCGGGACCAAGCAACAACAACTTTTGTTCCATGTTGCCATTGTTCTTCCTTTCCAGTTCCTTATCAATCTTCTTCGAGATTATTGCAGCTTCGCGAGAAGCTTTTGACTCTATTGATTCACAGGAGCCCATGCAAGCCTAAAATAACAAGTTATACCAAGCATTATCTATCCATTGATATGCGAGAACAGTAGAAAACATGCGGACATACATAATGAAGGAAGGCTTTGGATTTGTATTGAAATCTAGTAATGCACAATGAAGCAAAAGAGCCATATGTAAAGAATATATTGGCAATCACATCAAAGCATAAGCATAAAGAGTGGAAGTGTAGCTCACTTCACCATCATGCTAATAAAAGAAATTTCTGAGGCAGCATGAAGATTAATTCTGTGCGTTACGAAGCAGTAGATGTACAGTACAAGAACCTCTGCACTAGCTAATTTGATGTTGTGACAATGGCTTGAATATGGGCTCCACATCAATCACACGAAAATAATGTAGATTTGGAGAAAAAAACTACTACCGTAGCATATAAGCTGGATCTAAAGTGTGCGTAATTTTCCTTCCTTGTCAGCCTTCCACTTAACACAAAGCTGTACATCAATAGCAGACTTTCTAGTTAACTGCAACGTGGAAGCTTTGAAGTGGCAGCGTCAACACGAGCGATAAAATGTAAATTGTTGAAAACAAGAATGCTCGCAAGATCGGAAACCAGTTCAACAGGTGAAGATCACTTCGGGAACGCGTTATAGCAACTTACTTGTTGGCCAGTGCAAGTGACAAATTGAATTCTGCCCTTTACGAGGAACAACAAAGAGTAAGTTCAAATCAGATGAGTGGTGTAAGACGTGAAGGAAGGCATGCAGTGATAAACATTCAAACTTGGCACCAAAAGAGGAGATCTGTTTGGCAAAAGACTAATCGAGGAATAAATGCTCACGTAGACAATTTCGAGTGTTAAATATACAGCATCGTAAAATCTGCTGCAACACACTGGATTTCCTGTGTGCGCTTGTGTTGCTGTACCAACCTAAAAATTAGACCAAGAAGAGGTCAGAACCTCGTTCTACAGATAACAACTACCTTGGCAGTGTTCACAACCTCAGTATTTGCGTCATGCAGGTTTATTGGCTGGTACCGATTTGAAATAAGATTCATGTTGCCTTTGCTACTATCTCCACAAGGCAAACCCCATAAATTGAATAAGGGCTAGGCAAAACGAGACAAACTCTGAAAGGTAATCTGCAAACGTTCGCCTAAAGGGCCGGGCATACTTCACACGATCTCAGTCGCGACGCGACTTGGCAATATTCCAACTGTCCATAACTCACTGTAAGCACATTTTAAGTGTACAGATAATAGGCATTTTATCAATCCACGTAAGCTATACACACTATTCATGTGTAGAATGCTAGTGTTGGATGCGAAGACTTCTGGCGATTTGCCAAATCGCGTGAAGTATGCTCGGTCCTTAAGACCTCGGGCAGAGTTCACACATCACGTCCAAATCGTTAATCAAGTCTATGCATACCGATTGTCCAAGACGATCGGTATGCATAGACTCGTAACCATTTGTCTTATTGGGAGAGTCGCGGCGATGAAAACGCGTGGACTTCTGCCCAAGACCTAACTCGTCGTCCATGTAAGTCTTGAAGCCAAGGCTAATAGAATTCGTCCCAAGAATGCCCTACGAATTTTCTGCGATGATGTATAAAAGTTTTAAAAGTTCGCACAATTTTCATGAACCAAGGAAACGTCAAGATTTTATTGAAATTCAGACATGATGTAAGATTCGTTGTTGCGCACAATTTCCTACCAGCTTGCCGTAAAATATGTGATTCTTCTCCAGATTAGCGAGTCCAACAGCGTTTGAGATCGCCTTCAGAATCGAAACAAGCACCTTATGGTCTGCAAGAGCGGAACAGCTAAGGCCATTTAGTATCAGTGTGCCCTAAAAAGCTCGCCTAATAAGGTGAGGTCAGAGCACAATAGATACTACGTCACTCCCATTCAAGTGTTGCAGGACACTGCAGGACATTTTTGATGGCGTTTAGAGTATGGGACCATGATTTGTCATGCAGAAACCTTAGTGAATCGTTCATTAGGCTTTTCTGCACTGCGGATTCGTTTAGACGGTTTGGATAACGAGAGTATGGTCGAATGTTTTGTTCTTGTCCAACAAAAGATGCTGTCCGTCCCTCCAAAACCCTTCCAAGACCTTGTTAAATTCTTATACTTCAGGAATCCATTGCTTTTTGTCTTTTGCCTTCGTAATCGGTCGTAATTAAAAACGCTTCTTCACATGAAAAACTGAGGAAGTGAGGAAAATGCTTATTTGCCTCTTAAAAATTTCATGAAACTGAGACGTATAGAAAAGCTGGATTTCCAGAAGTTTTTGTTCTTTTTCGTACCCCTTCAGTACGCTGAGTTCGAATCCAGGTCTGAAATAGAACAGAATTCCTAAAATATCAATATTGAATACCCTCCTTCGGATTCCATCGTGGACGAAGACTCCTTGCTGTCAGCGAAGGCCAGATGCAGGCAAGCAGCAAGGCAAGCGTAGAAAAACACTGTTTTTGGACGCTCCCCGATAAATCAATCGATTTTTGACTTTCCCGCCTGCTAGGAGAGATCAAGAAATGGGCAAGACGCTCACTCAAGGAACCAACCCTTGCCGAATCTGTCTTTTAAAGCGATTTCCATGCCACAAAAACACCTTCTGATAGCGCAAACTGGGCGGTAGATGGGGCCGCTGCTGTTGGATATGGCCTTTATATGACACCAGTGCGTCACCTCTGCTTCGCAGAGGCTCGCACTGGCTCTACAATTCACATGCCTTTCTCGAAGTCCCAAAATGATGGCTTTGAAACTTACCTCGCGATGCCGATCACCACGAATGAAATGTAAACAACTACTCATTCTAAAAGCTTTTTCATGTAACATCGGTGACTGTGAGGGTAAGAAAGTATTCTCCAAAAGATTAAATGCGATTTTGAATCAGTTACTGAGGTTATAATGGCTTGATAGTCGCCATAAAGATGATGACAACCGTGAGTTACATTTCTGCGCAAAAACTTTCTCACATTCCCAGGTAAAACCTTGACAAATCGACCGTCTATGCAATCATTCCTTTTTTGGCGCCAATCTTGCGTAAAGTTAGCGTTTTGCTCACTTTTTGGGCTAGAGTTCATGGTTTGCGGATTTAATTGCTAAACGAAACCATGACTTTGAAAAAAGTCAAATTACAGACCCACTTTGGCGCGCGAAATGCCGCGTGGATCCGTTTGGCGCACAATATCACAGGTTCCAATTATCGAATAGACTTGAGATTTTGCATACTTTATCTAAATGCTGATAGGGTGCTAACATCAAAATTCTAGCAGACCTTTACTGAAACTCGCCCTACGAAGTTCGTGACAGACAGAGATTCACACACACAGACAAACGTAAACAACCCTTAGCCCGTTATTATGAGTTATGATATCTTTCCGCACGACCGCTCCTTATGTAACGAGGACGAGAATGAGCTTCCTACGGACTTAGGAAACGATTTTTTGTAACCTCAATAACAGAGAAGAGTCATATTATTTTACACCACAGATCTGTCTTATTCTTCCTCGCTTCATCAGTGTCGGAGGTTTTAACAAATTTAGAGGGTGCTTGGGTTAGAGAGAGAATGTGGCAGCCTACACTTTGCATGATGCCTTGAGCCCTTTTCAGAATGAAAAGGGCTCAAGGCATCATGCAAAGTGTAGGCTGCAAGATTGAGTAATGCAAGCTCTAGAAGCCAGAAATTGACTCGTATAAGATGATTGATTCATAATGACTGCGTAAAACGAAGGCCGTCTGAGGCCTACGGCAAAGTTCGCGCAATTTCATCGCCTCATGGTTCTCCAACAAGACAACTGTAACGAGTTTATTGCATGTCGATCCTCCCGCTTGGTTATGATAGTTTTCCGAACTAATGTGACTAGCTATCACAACCAAAATGCAAGAGGATCGGCATGCCATGGACTCGAAACAATTGTATTGTTGGAGAATCGCGAGGAGATGAGATCGCGTGAACTCTGCTTAAGGCCTGACGACAACAAGTGCGCATAGTGCAGCCGCGAGGACACGACGCTAACGTTTCACTCAAGAATGATGGGTTTAAGTTTTATGCTTAATCCTGAATAATTAGGAGCTATGACTGTTTATCTGCAAACATAGCATAGCTGGAAAGCCAGCCCGCGCGTGATAGTGTGACTGCACTGCGCGGCCCTATTGCCGTTGCGGCATAACAAATACCTTTGGAAAGGGCATCAGGATTTGAGTTTATTTTTTGATAAACTCGCGCGACATACGCCGCTACTCGATTATACTGGGAACATGTGGCCCCACCCTAACAGCGTATGCCGCGCAGTCTGACTTGAACCTAATTTTGTACGACAACTTGAACTTTTGCGTTAGGAGCCGATTCAGATTGATGATGAATGAACAGTATAGTAAAATGCACATAAACATTGAGCACTTTTTAAAAGCTAAGAAAGAAAACGACCTTTGCACAACTAAACAGACGGAAAATACGATTTAAAAAGCATCAACTCAGCAACGTCGTCACTCACTATTATGGCCTTTGTGAATCAGGAACCTACTGTAAAGACGGCACTCTTTTCATGGATAGGGAAGCGACAAAACAACGCTCCTTTCCACGGAGACTATAATGCGGACTCATGCTCCATGCGGTAAAAAAAATAAATACGGTTGGAGACGAAAATTAGGAACACTTAGTTGCTAGATCTGGTAAATGATAAGAAAAAAGTTTTGAAGTGACCAGACTTCGTTGGTCTGAGAAGCACGGATGGTCAAAGAAGTCGACGCGATGCTCAGGAAAACTACATACGTGTATTTACTGTTTTTATCTACAGTATAATCAAGTCTAATTCTAGCTTCTAAATACTCGTCCTATAGAAAGCAAGATAACTAGAGAGCTTTTCATGCACCCAGCAAGCACTCAGCACGGTGTACCATCGCAACTATTGTGCACAAAACAAAGTAGAGTGCTCTTCCTTTTTTAGTCCTTATACGATAGCAGTAACTGTCAAGAAGTGCATATGTTGAAGCAAATCATAACATGTCGACTGCATTGTAGTAATTTTCTAATCAATACTTGGTGATGTCAAATAGAAAAGGAGTGTGACATGGATGCACCAAAACGTTTGCAAACTTTAACGGCCCTTTATCGGTAGAACTTATGGAGCTTTTGATAATCAGACTAATCCCCGTCGATTGATTTGACTGCGTAGATAATGGAAGAACATCCGAAGCAAGCCATTTTGTATTTGATTTGACTAAACTTGCTAGTTGCAAGAGTAATGAAACTTAGCATAGACAATTGCGACCTTCCGCTGCAGTGCAATCACTTTTGGAAAAAACCATAACTCCGTTTAAGAATAGTTGTGCTAAAAACGATTGCTTTCATGGAGTTATTTGATTACATATTAAATCAGCATTTCAATTAGCAAATATCTTGAGCTTCATCACAAATTGGTTGAGCTTATTGAGTATCTTTTCCTTCTCAGTCATAGCCTATCAGTTTGCTCAGCGCTTTGAGGGTTTGAAATTGAAACAGATGATCTCGCCAGAAAATCTCGCTCTCTGATGACATCAAAATGATATTACGAACATGCAAATGATACAGTAACTTGCATAACTTGCAATGAATAGAATGCTTGTCTTGTACTCTACTCCAAGGTAAGTCTTAGAGGAGGGCAAAAATTTAAAAAAAACTATGCTTATCAGAAGCATAATCAAGCAAATCCCTGCTTTCTTCTTTTCACAGTAAACTTCGATGCGAAATTATAACAGACTGTTTGTAAACTAAGTAAAGCATACTACTAAGGGGGCATTGGATGTGTAGCCTAATAATCCTCATTTCAGGTTAGAAAAAGCACAGCTCAAACGTAGACTCAAAAATTTATGCATGGCAAAGTTCCTTATTGCTTGAGTAATTTAGCCACACCGGAGCTAGTACACATTTATTCGGCTAACGTTTCAGCTAGTTTTGAAAGTTTTGAATGTAACTCTAATAAGCGACCAAAAAAATAGATACCCGAAAAAACGGCAAAGAAGCGTGAGGTGCACCAAATTTTGTATTTTGGGAGTTTTCTTAGTTGAAG